CCAGGCGAAGAGTGAGGTGTGGGTGAGGGGGAGTTGGATTTGAGTTTCAACATCTTATAAGGCCGGCAGGGTTGAAGAAACACTGCCCTAGACCAACTAATGGTTAAATTTACAACCTCTCATAGGGCACTCAGCACTGATTTACTTAATCCTGGATGTTCAACAAGCCACAGCTGGGGTGACAATCATCCTAAGCTGTAAAGGATGGTGAAGAAACTACGGGCAATGGGATTCACACAGCAAATACGTTGTATTATGGCTTAAAATGGTGTTTGGTTTGAATTCTTGAATCTGTGTTCTGCTTTTTCTTCAGGCCTACTAATAAAGGCCTGAAGAAAAGAAACTAGCTATACCAGAGATTAAGGAAAAAAGGAGAGGAGAGGAGAAAAATGTAGGCGTGTTATACTTTTTCATTTATTGCAGTTTTATGGTTACATTTTAATCAAGTATAATTTTGGTTTTGCTATGCATGTGCATTTCAGGATGAATATATGGGAAGTGGCATTAAAAGATATATCACATAAATTCATAGCCTCTTCATCCCTTCCAGCTATTTGCTTGCTTTTACAATTCCTGTTCCCCAGCTTTTGATACCCTTCAGATTACTACTGTTTCCAGCAGATGGACCCAGGCAATCAAACCAAAGTGAGCGTCTTCATCCTTGGGGGTGTACCAAACACTGCCCGGCTTCCCTTTCTCTTCTTCCTCATCTTCACAACCATCTACTTACTGACAGTGCTAGGGAACCTCCTCATCCTATTCACCATTATGGCTGAACCTCAACTTCATGGTCTCCCCATGTACTTCTTTCTCTGCAATCTCTCTCTTCTGGACACCTGCCTGTCTTCTGTCACTGTGCCAAAAATCCTGGCCAGTTTCATAGCATCTAGCTATAGAACCATCTCCTTTAGAGGCTGCGTCCTTCAACTCTACGCCTTCCACTTTCTGGCCAGCACTGAGTGTTTCCTCTATACTGTCATGGCTTACGACCGCTACCTTGCCATCTGCCATCCACTAAACTATACCACGTTAATGAACAGAAGAATCTCCTTGGGACTCGTAGGTGGCACGTGGTTTACGGGTTCCTTTCATGCGGCAATACATGCCAGTCTAACTTTCTGTCTGCCTTACTGTGGCCCTAACCAGGTTAATTATTTCTTTTGTGATATACCCCCTGTGCTAAAGTTGGCCTGTGCTGACACAACTGTGAACCATGCCATGATAAGAATAAACATTGCTCTGGTGGGCACCGGTTGCTTTCTACTGATATGTATTTCCTACACCTACATAGCTTCTGCTATTTTGAAAATCCAAACCACGGAGGGAAGACATCGGGCCTTCTCAACCTGTAGTGCTCATCTCACAGTCGTGCTACTATACTATAGCCCCTCCATTTTTATCTATATGTGCCCATCTTCAAGCCAAGCCACGTATGGGATATTGGCTGTATTCTATGCCATCATCACCCCTATGTTGAATCCATTCATATACACTCTGAGGAATAAGGAAGTAAAAAGGGCTTTGAGGAAATTGTTCGTTGGATACCTGACTTCTCAGAAGAGATAGGATGAATTCTGGTACTCAGCTCAAAGATCCAAATCCTTTCCCACATTGCTAAAACAATTTAATGTACTTTGTTTTTTATGGTTAATTTCTCATCAATGATATACTGAGCACTAACTGTACAATCTTGATAATCCCTTTGTCCATGTACTGATATTCTATTTCTATCCATTCTTCTTTTTCTTTTTCTCCTTTTGTTTCCTTGTTCACTCTTTTTTTTTCTTTAAACGATTAATACATAAATTTTTTAAAAAAGAAAAGGTAGGATGGGCAGCTGAACTGAGAAATTAGATAAGGCTTAGGAAGAACAGAGGAGGGATCACCTAGCATCCTACTCTTTATCTGGATTTTGCTGTTGTTATGTATGCAAAAGGGTTAAGGCTGGAGTAATCAAAGGCCACTACTTTGGGGACTTTACACCCATCCATGGTATTTTTTTCAGTAGTTCTGGAAAGTCTGAGAGAGAGGGATCTATGGACAACATAAAATATTGTTAGGGTTAAATGTTGTCCCGTTCTTATTGTACTTGATGCAAAGGATTTTAGGCCTAAATGCCATCTGTGCATCTGAGTCACCCATCACTGCTAGACAGACAGATGAAAGGGACCTCCATGTTGATTTTTGTTCATTGTCTTAAATCCTCTTTATCCTGTGTTGTGTTTTTATTGTGTTTGTCATCCAGAGTTCCTTTCTTCTGGGAGATTGTTTAATAAATAAATAAATATGTTTCGGTGAAATGAAGAAGATGCTGAATTAGACAAAGTAACTGCTGAGACCCTTTGGTTCTGAGGAAATGGAAGACCTTAGAAGGGCCCATGAAATGAAAAAAACAACTCCTTATCTGTGTGATAGGGGCTGCTAAGAATCTGATATGTGTCTTTTGTTGTTTGGCTAAAGAGTTCTGACTTGCATTTATACTGATTGCTGATACGTACTGTTTCAATGATGTATGTGATATTGTTTATTGATGATCAGCAAGAAGCAGGAGAGACAGAGATGTCTGGTCTCCCTCCCTTGCGAGCTAGAACAATAAAGCCTTCCTACCAAGTCTGTGCTGTGTATTCCTTGACCTTGATGCTGAGATCTCAAAAATATTGTGGATTCCGGGGGATAAAAGTCTTGATTTAGAAAAGAAGAATGAAAATTCAAGTTTCATGGACCACACTCTGAATACAGTAGATTCCTTCCAACTTCTAAAATTCAAGTATTCTGGTTACTTATCTGATGCACGTACATGATTTATCTAGCTGATTGGATCTGGTTCATGATGCTTAAATTTTTGCACACAGTAGCCAAAGTCTCACTTTTCTTCCCTCTCTTGTTGGAGAAGCTGATACCTGTTTGTCCAGGCAAAGCAGATAAGGAAGGCCAGAGACCTCTGACACGGATGTCCATGTAGTCGCCTGGAATTGAGACTGAATTGAAAGCACAAATATAAGCTAGTTGATTGTCTTCTTCATACTTTGTGTGCATGCAAGAGTGACATGGGTACAGTTAGGGCCAGAGCTGAACAATCAGCAACTTCTCCAAGGTTATGAAGTGCCTCCCAACTAGTCCACTTAGAGAGTTCAGGCATGGATCTTGCTTACTGTTGTAAGTTCTCTGCATAGCCTAAAATCCTGGGGGGAAAGGGCTATGCCCATTTCAGACAGTTTTTTTCAGGAGGGGGGGGGGATGGAAATGCCTTTGCCAAGTGCTATTGCCAGTTGAGCCTGGGAGAAACCATTCCTGACTAGAAGTTATGATTTCCAGTTGTGGGTACACATCAACCGTTGAAAAGTGGCTTGTTCTTTCCCTTAGTGGCTAGCAACTCTTTGGTTGCTCAATGCAACTTCAGTTGTGCTTGATTTTGGGATGGAGGTGTAATGTGTTGGTAGGTAGGGATTTGCCTAGCAACAACACAGGGCTCAAATGTTCTGCCTTTCCCCCTTTTTTGGAGTTGGCATGAAGCTTATTTCAGGGTTTCTACTACCCCTTTCTTAGCTTGTTTGATTCTCACCTTGAATGGCAGGGAACTGGTTTCGGCAATTATGATGGAATGGAGCTTGGAGAGGGTGTGTGTGATGGGAAGCGGGGGAGAGAAAATCAGATCCTAGGACTCATATTGCTTATTCCTCTTTTTACCTGGGCAACATAAACACATATTAGTGAGAAGATTCTAGGCAGTCTTTTCCTATCCATACAACTTTAATGTGCAAGACGTTTCTCATGTGGGGAATCACCAAAATGCTAAAAAAAGGGGTGATCTGAAAGAGTAAAATGTAGGTCTCACAAAGACACTGTTTCTTCCCCTCTCTCAAACCTAAGGAGGTAGCTGCATTCCCCAAAGAAGCAGGATGCTTGTTTTTCACCCCCCAGTGCGTGAATCCTTAAGCTGCATTAGGCCATTTAGTTACAGATGTTACATGATACATTGTCTCCCATCCTCGGCATCTGCTTGCCCGCCAGCCCAGTGCCATGCATTTCATTCGCAACAGAGAAATCCACTAGGGGATGAACTCCATCTGGGCTGTGATGCTCATGAAGCAGATAGAGTGACCTCCAGTGGGTATAACTGATGGCTGAACACACTTTTGCTGGCAATGAAATTCTGGCCTGTACCCACCACACCTCTATCCCTTCGTGTTAGTGTAAAGTTGTGGTTGCCTAAAGGCAATTAGGAGAGTTAATGGTTTGGACTGGTCCTTGATTCTGCTTCTGTTTCTGCCAAACAGATGTTGGTCAGGGCCATGGAGTCTTTTGGTGTAAAGGTTGAGGTACTCTCACTCAGTGTTTCTCAACCTCATCAACTTTAAG